GACTAGTGTTCCCCTGTATTTCACTGATTCTTCTCTTTAGCATTTCACGGTACTGGGCACATGAAAGATTATTATTATTATTATTATTACTATTGTTGTTTAGTCATGATGGAAAGGTAAAGAGATTGGAATTTAGATTTTGATTCTGAATTGAGTTTGTTTAGGTGACTGTTTATGGAACATAGATTTGATCCCTTATGCACATATTATGATATTTATTTGTATGGTATGTTCATACTCTCTGAGGTACATGTAGATAGTTAACCATTTGAAACAGTAGCAGTGAGATGGATTTTTAAACGATGAATAAATTCGCAGAGTTGCTCAGGCACTCTGCAACTGAACAAAACTTCACAGGTGTTGTGGCTTTCTTTACTCTACAACTCATGATAGTATCACTACGGGTTTTGTGCCTTATATTAAAAGTGTCTTTTTTCGCATGACATCACAGCCTCCTGAATGCAGCCCCACAAAGAGTGGAGACCCTGAAAATGCTTAGCAGGTCAAGTAAGTTGTAAATGGAGGGTTTAAGTTGACTTATCGCCATAATTGGTCACTTTTAAGCACAAGGGGGCTATCCTGAAAAATGCTGTTTTGAGAAAATCGAAGCTAAAATTTTTTCCCCTTGTTCAGTTTCTTTAAAAGACAAGAGAGTTTTCTCTATATCCAAATATACGCACCAATGAAACTAAACTTCTCCTATAGGTGTGGCAATGCCTACTTTTGGTGTAGGTCAAGATTTCTGGAAACTCCCGAAATATGGGTTAGCCTGGTTGTCCTTAAAAGCGACCAATTAGCCCTGGGCAATAATGTAAGGTCAGTTGGTTTGTAGCTCATAACACATTGGCGCGGTAAGGGCCACGTTTAGTCAAGAACGTAGTTGTTATTATGAGCCATATCATGGCATCATTTGTTTTATGGATGTGAGACATGGAACGCATCTCAGATTTGCATAAAGAGGATTCACATTTTTGGGGGGGCGAGTGTACTCAGTATCAGCATGAACAAAGTCACCAACGTGAAGTGTTCTGGAGAACAAAGAGCCCAGTCAGAGATGAAGCGGGAAGACGGTGGCGATAGATGGTTAGACGTACTCTCAGGAAGTCGGGCAGCTGTATAGCAAAGAAAATTCTGAAATGGAATCCACAGGATAGACGATCAAGGGGAAGGCCTCGTGGAATTTGTAGAAGAGTCACAAAAATGATGTACTCTGAAAAGCGGGAAGACATAAATAAATAATCTCAAGAGGCTTGTCCAGGATTGGGTTAGGTGGAAAGCGTTAAGAGTATAATATGGCCTGATCCATTGTGGGAAAGGCAGCGGTGATGGTGTCATGGAAGCCAGGCTGTAAACGTCCGTGTTTCTTGTCTCGAGTTACTTCCACCTTGCATGTTTGTTGGGAAGGGGGGAGGGGTTGGGGTGTATTTTCTTTCTTTTAAAAAAAAAAAAATTTTTATAAGTGTTTTACGGCGATCGCAATTGCATAAGGTCATATTGCGCGCAAGACACATTTTAAACATTTTAAGTTGGTAGGAAATTTTGAATTTTGCCCGGGTGGCAGCTGAAGCCAACTGTATAAATCGAATTTGGGCCACCAAGGGATCTTTAACGTACGCAACTTGCACTCGGGACCTCCGAGATTTTTCGTCCGTATGCGAGAAAGCTAAGTGTTGGATCTTACATACCATAAGATCAGGGGTGTGGTATGGAGCCAAGGAGCAGCAGTAGAAAGAGTCAGGAGCCAAGAGGATGGAGCAAAGGGGTCAGGGTAGATTTGGGCAGAAAGTGGAGACGAAAGCAGAAACACAATAATATTAAAGAGCAGGAAGGGAGGTGAAAGAAGAACATTTAAGAGAAGATAATTTTCTGTCGCTATACGGGTTCGATCCTGGGACCTACTGAATGAGATGCGAACACCGTAACCACTGGATCGTGTGTGTAATCTGTTCCTGTGTGTGTGTGTGTGTGTGTGTGTGTGTGTGTGTGTGTGTGTGTGTGTGTGTGTGTGTGTGTGTGTGTGTGTGTGTGTGCGCGCGCGTGTGTGTGTGTGTGTGTGTGTGTGTGTGTGTGGTTGGCGGACGCTCCGGTGTGGCATAGATGACTCATTCACTTTCCTTTACCCTAAATATGAAAAACGTATCATACTAATCTCTCCTTCTTTTCTTTGTATATTACTCTCTATAGGGTAACACCTCTAATCTTCGACATCTTTGCGGCCTATTTGTATTGCAAGCGCCGTAAAACTCTTAACTTTAAAAAAACAACTAATAAATAAAAATTTAAAAAACAATTTAAAAAACTGAAACTAAAAGCTACAGATGTCCCTATTTCTTTTCCAAAGCTACCGGTACTACATGTAATACCATATATAGCTTAAATCTTTTTCCTGGATAAGCGTGACGTAGCGACCGCTGTTTTGAACAAACGCGAGAAAAAAGTGTAGAAGCTGATGAAAAAAAATCGGTCTCTGCCCAATCAGAATTCTTTCTTTTTTATTAACAGGTCTTTTTTAGCAACCCCCCCCCCCCCCCCTCCCAAAATAAATAAATAAATAAATAAATAAATAAATAAATAAATAAAATAAATAAAAATAAAATAAAATAAAATAAAATAAAATAAAATAAAATAACATAAAATAATAATAATAAAAAATCAACAAAACAATTTTAAACGACACCCCAGTAGAAAGATTGAGATACTCAAGTATCATACTCGATATAAAATAAATAATTTCCTCACACAGGAATCGAACTCTGGTCTCCTGCGTGCGACAGCGAAGCGCCTAGCTCAGCTACACCACAGACACCAATGCCTATTCAGAGAAACTCGGCACCGTAGTCATGGTTACTGACATCAACGTGCGTGATGCTTGTGGCAAGGCACCATGACAATGACATTGACAATGGTTTCAGATATCTCACCAGGAACATGAGAAAGGTCGGTAACAATCGGTAAGACAGAAGAAATTGTTGTCAATTAGAGCCGAACCTTTTCAAACGACCACCTCTATGTTGCTGTCCCCGTGATTTTATGCACCCCGCATAATTTAGCAAAATTTTGTCTTTTTTGTTGTTGCTTAATTTCTGATTATTTTCCTTTATCGTTCTTTGTTAAAATTAAAAGAATCGCATAATTTCACATTTTTTGGGCTCAGTTTGCATAACTTATGATTTTTAAAAATAATAAAACGACGGGGACAGTGACAATCATCCGTACTCTTTCTGCTGCCTTTTTACTGTTACTCCTTAGCTCCTCCTACTGCTGTCTTTCAGTCGCACCCCTAGTCTTATGGTAGATAAGGTCTAACACCTAGCCTTCTCGGATAAGGACGAAAAATCTCGGGAGGTCCCGTGTGCAAGCTGCGCACATTAAAGATCCCTTGATGGTCCAAAATTGATAATAAGAGTTGGCTTCGGTCGCCACCCGAGCAAAATACGAAATTTCCTACCAAACTGATAATATTTAATGTGTCTCAAGCGCTCGTATAACCTTGTACAGTTGCGAGCGCCGTAAAACTTTACTTTACTTTTTCACTTTAAATACTTTTTTTCCGCCGCTTATATCCTTTTGGGAGTCGCGGGAAGAAAGAGATGTCTCTCTCTGCCACCAGCCGGAGAGTTTGGGCCTGGGGGATGCCATGGGTTGTATAATGTTTCCCTGACTCCATCTTTCCGTGTCTTTCTCGGTCGCCCTCTTGCCTTATTGCCTTTGAATGTTTTGCTGACTCCATCTATCCAGGTCTCTCTGGATAGATGGAGTCAGCGAGCGCCGCAAAACGCCCAACAAAAACAACAAAACAAAACAAAACAAACAAAAAACCCCCACAAAAAAACCCTGTCTAAGACAGCCACTTTTCTCGACAATGGCAGGTTGTCTTCGACAATGTCAACTAACGTGTTTGTGCACCGGCTTGTTCTTGTGTGTCCACAAAGTTCATGTGACGTCACGGACAATAACAGCAGAACTGGAACTCTCGCGCAATCAAATTGTCCCCTAACCCCCCCCCCCCTCTCTCTCTCTCTGCTATCCTCCTTCTCTCTCCCTTTATCCACCCCATCTCTGTCTCCCCCATCTCTTTCTCCTCTCTCATCTGTTCCTTTCTCCCCTCTCTTCCTCTGTCCCAGTACCTCGCCCCCTCCCCCTCTCTCTCTTTATTTGTCTCTGCCCCCCCCCCCTTTCTCTCTCTCTCCTCTTCTATGTATCCCCCCCTATCTCCCTGTCACCACCATCCCTTTCCCTATGGGTGGTTGCCTGGCGCTCTGATGTGGTTGATCGCTCCTTCTTTCATAACAAAACTCTATCCTCTTTATCCCCCCTTTTTTCTTCTTGTAAGTTAAAGCCTCTTTTTTTTTGTATGTTACTATCTAGTAACACGTCCTCTCATCTTCGGCATTTTTTAGTTGTACGACCTTTCTTGTGCTGCAGTGCCGTAAAACTTTCACGTGGGTGGTTGGTGGGTGCTTTGGTGTGGTTATTGTTCCTTCTTTCATATCAAACATAATATCGTCTTTATCTCTCTTACTTCTTTTCTGTATCAGCTACTCTCTAGTGACACCTCTAATCTTCGGCACTTCTATGGGCTAATTGTGTTGCAAGTAGGCCTACTGTAAAACTCTTACTAAAACTAAAATCAAGAGCCATGGATCACTGCGGAAGACATCAGCGATCATGGCTCTCCGTTCATAATACCGGTACATGTACTTTGTTTGCTCCTTAGAAACAAAATAGTTTCTGTCTCTTCTATTTTAGTTTCACTGTTTTTAGATTTAGAATCTAGAGATTATCCAACATTCACAGCCATAGAAAGGTTGACATAGCATTTCAGAACTTTCATTTTGGTAGTCATTGAGATTTTTCTAATTTTCAAGTTAGAAACAATGGTCTCTCGGTTTATGGATAATATTTTTTGGGACCATATTGTTCGGCTACGAAACGGCAACAAAAAAAAGGAAGTCACATGACCTTTGAAAAAGAAAGTATGAAACGTTATTCTAAATGTAATCATGGATACCGTTGGTCAATTTATAATTCTTTTTTGGATATAGACTAAAAAAATGATGACATGTTAAATATGATTATTAGCCAAGTAAAAGTGCTCTAATCAGCTGAAATTATTGCGAAATATTCTTTATTTTAGACGGATTGAAATTTGGACTAAAAATAGCAACCAATGAAATTGCTTCTTTCACAGAGGCGGAAAAAACCGCGAAAGACACCACCATTGATTTTACGTTTGCTTTGATGTGATGGCCGATGGCCCTGTTGATCGAGTGTGACACCTGTGACATTATTGCAAAGTGTAACTTAATAATGTTTATTTTTTGAAGTTTGTGGTATGCATGTCAATGCTCAAAATACAAGTATGGATACTCATGCGGTAGCTGCTGTACCAAGTCCTCGTCCGACCCCACAGTTTTACAGTGATCCTCAAACCTTTTCTGTGAAGAAGGTGAGTCGACACCATGATGACCATGCCATTATGTTCACTGTTGTTATTGTTTTTGTGATGGCTCTACCCTACCCTAGGTCTAGATTTCTAGATCTATCTACATCTAGAAATGTAGATTCTCAGTATTGTCATAATTGTGGTTGGGAAAGATCTTTAGATTTCATTTTCAAACGTGCCCATGCAAAATAATATCTTAGATTTTAAGTTTTTGTGATGATGGTGACGGTGTGTTTTTTTTTGGCCTTCAATCTTCAACTTTAAATGTTTGACTTTTTACTAAAGTGTCTTTACCTCCGATGGGGGTAAACCCACTAGAATCTACTAGATCTAGATCTAGAATCTATATGCCGGGGCCCTCGATCAATTTGGTACAAAATCTATGAGACAGCAAAATTGAGGGGTAGTTAAACTGTTAGGGTTAGGCCTCTTCTTTATTGTGTTGTTTGATGGCGATGGGGTGGTCGCTCGTTACGGAAGTCCTTCCCAACAAACCGCAGTGGCTACGTGAACATAAAAACTAATCTGCAGGCTACGTTCACGGCGCCGTGGACATAGTTTTAAATAGTTGGCTGGCTACCATCTCTGCGCCCTGAACGTAGTTGACAGGCTACGTTTACGATGCCCTGAACAGTGAATTGCCTGAATGCAGTTTGCTGACGTTGTTGAGGCTACGTTCACACAGCACTCAAGCTTCGTTTAGATGGACTGGAGTATCCACTGCCTGTTCAAGTGACAAGTAGGCCTTAGCCAGTTTTAGTCAGTGATGATAGTGACGTAGGCTATATTTAATGTGGTAGCTTTAATTGCGACAGAGTGACACTGACAACTGACGCAGCGTTGATTGCGCGGCTCTGTGACAGTTAATGCAGCGTGAATTTCGACAGTGAGTCTGACAAAAAAAAAGAATTTAAAAGGACAAGAGATAAACAAACACATGCACATACGCATAGTAGGCTATAATCTGCGCGCGCACACAAACACGAACTCCCGTACACCGCACAACCTTATTGTGGCCTTATACACCACCCCCCCTCACATGGATAGGCCTACACACACACACACCAAACTATCTGACAAACGACAAAGATCTACAGTTTCCAGCTCTTTTCTTGTTAATAGTTCTTCAACTAGTCTAATGAATGATAATTCCGGTGAGACTTGTTTTTGGCAATTGCCGAAAAATAAGCTGAATAATGTTGAAGTTGCCGTAAAAAAGAAATGTGCTCTAGCCGCTGAACAGTTCACCGGCAGAGGAGTTTGGACTGCGATGCGCTGCAGTGAGCACCTAGAAATCTAGCACACCTCTGTGATTGGCCCAAATAGATGTATAGGACTATATAGTATATAGGCTAATTTATATAGGCTAGATGAAGTATTTCCATCTATTTTTGTTTTCTTCCGGGGCTTTCTTCGCCAGTTGACTAGATCTAGATCTCACCGTGGCGGGCCCGCTTTGCCGCTTAGTGCATGATGGGCTACATCACTAGGTTTCATTGCCTGTTTGAGCTGTGTGTGCGTATGCGTTTAAAGGCTTGTGTGTGTGGGCCGTCGTTATTCGGACTCGAGTCCGAATAACATTTTTCATATTCGGACTCGGGTCCGGAAAAAAGGAAGTGTCTTCGTTCTATAGTCTATAGATCTAACGTTCAGTGCTTCCAATTTTCCGCCATTTTTTAGTTTCCCCCACACCTTTTCTGCCGATCCGATGCCCGCCGCCTCATTGATACGCCCCCACCCCCCATGTCTCCCACTTTCTTTGTTGTAGAAAAGGGTAAAATTGAAGATTAGCAGACCACCTGGCACCTGCATATTATGAGCTGTGTTTTAAAAAAAAGACCGATTCGTTCAAATACACAAGCCTGTGTCATCTCGATTGTTTACCAAGAAAAAGTTGTGTTGCTGTGTAGAGCTGAGCATACGGCAACTTTTGATTCCATAGACCAGCGCACAATTCATTACGTAGATCTACGTCAAGATTAGCTTATTATTGTAATAATGATCAGTTGCCAGGGGGAAAAAGACAGACGCGTATGCGACGTTCAATGCCCGGACCGATAGTGCCCCCCCCCTGACACGCACACAGCCACACGTGTGCAGGCCGCCCATCCGACCCCGACACACGCTAACGAGCCATCTTTAATTGCTTCTGATGACCTCTTGACAAATTTATTAGAAGCGCTATAACTTTTCAGGCCGGCCTCAAATTCATCATAAGATAAAACAACTCGGCTCCTGCACAAAGCGCCTTTTTGCCCGAAGTAATCCCGGTCTCTACCCAGCCTGAGGCGAGTCACGAGTGAGGCAGGACAGGAAGCCAGAGTCACGAGTCGCAGGAAATCGGAATTGATGTCATGCTGGACAAGAATCAGAGTCCGAATAACATTTTTTCATATTTGGATTCGAGTCCGAATAATCACTTCGGTGTGTGTGTGTGTGTGTACAACTTTGAGAAGGTAATTTTATGGAACGAGAATTGCTGAGATTGTTTATAAAAGATAAACACAAATTAATAAAAAAAAATTTTAAAAACCCAGACACTGAGATCTAGTCAACACTTATGGTGAGGGAAACCCAAGAGTCTTCGTGGAACCCTGGAAGACAACAAAAATAGATGGCGGAATACGTCATCTATATTTGGGCCAATCTCAGAGGTGTGCTAGGTGCTTGCTGTAGCTTCATGTGTTTCCAAGCTCCTTCAGCGGTTTGCACCTTGCCAAGGCGTCCTTGTGTATAGTAACAGCCGTCTTGTTTGACCTCGCAAGGGGATGCTTGCTGCGTCGTCTGATTGTGATTCTAAAAATAGTGATGATTTTGCATAACTCGCAGTTTGCTCTGGCAGTTTCCAAGATGTATTTCTGCTATCTATTTTTGTCGTCTTTCAGGGCTTCCCTCGCCAGTTGATTAGATTTCGCCATGGCGGGCCCGCTTTGCGGCTTAGCGCGT